GCAGATATGCCACACCTTCTGTGGATTGCTATCACAGATGCAGCAATTGTGATACACACTCCACAGCTTCATTTCCCAGGCGAGACAGCTTGGTTTCTCAAAATCCCTACGAAACAACGCCTTTCGTTGGGAATTGGTCAAGGCTTGGGAGAAAGTGGTGGTGACCTTTATATGGATTTCTGAGATGAGGAAGACTCAGGTTTGGCCAGTTCCTTCCTCTAAAATTCAGCCTACAGCACCTGGATTCGAGGGCAGCCTCCCATTCGAGTCCGAACCACAGCTGACTTTGCTTAGCTTCCAAGACCAGGCGAGAACTGGGGCCGGGATGCAAACATACCTATGGAGATCAATGATGCTCAAACTCTGGTAACACAGTGGGCTAAACCAGTGGTTCTCAACCTGGGGGTCAGGACCCCCGAGGGGGTCACGAGGGGGTGTCAGAGGGGTCACCAAAGACATTAGAAAACACAGTATTTTCTGTTGGTCATGGGGGTTCTGTGTGCCAAGTTTGGCCCAATTCTATCATTGGTGGGGTTCAGAACGCTCTTTGATTGTAAGTGAACTATCAATCCCAGCAACTACAACTCCCAAATGTCAAGATCTATTTTCCTCAAATTCCACCAGTGTTCACAATTGGGCATATTGAGTATTCGTGCCAAGTTGGGTCATGATCCATCATTGTTTGAGTCCACAGTGCTCTCTGGATGTAGGTGAACTACAACTCCAAAACTGAAGGTCAATGCCCACCAAACCCTTCCAGGATTTTCTCTTGGTCATGGGAGTTCTGTGTGCCAAATTTGGTTCAATTCCATTGCTGGTGGAGTTCAGAATGCTCTTTGATTGTAGGTGAACTATACATCCCAGCAACTACAACTCCCAATTAACAAAATCAACCCCTCACCCAACCCCACTAGTATTCAAATTTGGGTGTATTGGGTATTTGTGCCAAATTTGGTCCAGTGAATGAAAATACATCCTGCATATTGGATATTTACATTACAATCCATAATAGTAGCAAATTTACAGTTATGAAGCAACAACGAAAATAATATTATGGTTGGGGGTCACCATAACATGAGGATCTGTATTAAGGGGTCGCGGCACTAGGATGGTTGAGAAACACTGGGCTAAACCTTTGTGCTGCTGAACTGCTGCCCTAAAGTCCCTGTTGGGTTGAGATAGAGTGGGGTGGAAATAAAATAAGTAAATAAATAAATATGATTATTGATTGATTGATTGATTATTTATTTATTAAATTTCTACCCCGCTCTATCTCAATTATTAAATGCCATGATTACACCCAAAAAAAAAATACATAGCACAATCGGGGTGACATAGAGTGGGGTAGAAATAAAGTAAATATTATGATTATTGATTGATTATTTATTGATTGATAGATTATTTGTTTATTTATTACATTCCTACCCCACTCTATCTCAATTATTAAACGCCATGATTACACAAAAACAACAATACATAGCACAATTGGGGTGACATAGAATGGGGTAGAAATAAATTAAATAAATAAATATGATAATTATTGATTGATTGATTATTTAACTTCCTACCCCACTCTATCTCAATTATTAAATGCCATGATTACACAAAAACAATACATAACACAGTCGGGGTGACATAGAGTGGGGTAGAAATAAAGTAAATAAATAAATATGATGATTATTGATTGATTGATTATTTATTGATTACTTATTGATTGATAGATTATTTGTTTATTTATTACATTCCTACCCCACTCTATCTCAATTATTAAACGCCATGATTACACAAAAACAACAATACATAGCACAATTGGGGTGACATAGAATGGGGTAGAAATAAATTAAATAAATAAATATGATAATTATTGATTGATTGATTATTTAACTTCCTACCCCACTCTATCTCAATTATTAAATGCCATGATTACACAAAAACAATACATAACACAGTCGGGGTGACATAGAGTGGGGTAGAAATAAAGTAAATAAATAAATATGATGATTATTGATTGATTGATTATTTATTGATTACTTATTGATTGATAGATTATTTGTTTATTTATTACATTCCTACCCCACTCTATCTCAATTATTAAACGCCATGATTACACAAAAACAACAATACATAGCACAGTCAGGGTGACATAGAGTGGGATAGAAATAAAGTAAGTAAATAAATATTATGCTTATTGATTGATTATTTATTGATTACTTATTGATTGATTATTTATTGATTTATTCAATTCCTATCCCTCTCTATCTCAATTATTAAATGCCATGATTACACAAAAACAACAATACATAGCACTATCGGGGTGACATAGAGTGGGGTAGAAATAAAGTAAATAAATAAATATTATGATTATTGATTGATTGATTGATTATTTGTTTATTGACTAAATTCCTACCCCGCTCTATCTCAATTATGAAATGCCATGATTACACAAAAACCATACGTAGTACAGTCGGGGTGATATAGAGTGGGATAGAAATAAAGTAAATAAATATGATAATTATTGATTGATTGATTATTTATTTATTTATTCAATTCCTACCCCGCTCTATCTCAATTATTAAATGCCATGATTACACAAAAACAACAATACATAGCACAGTCAGGGTGACATAGAGTGGGATAGAAATAAAGTAAATAATTAAATATGATTGATTGATTATTGATTAAATTCCTTCCCCGCTCAATTATTAAATGCCATGATGACACAAAAACAGTTCAACTTTTAAAACTAGGTAATATAAATACAATTAAAACATGTTAAGACATAGCATCCATCCCATAGTCATTGTTCAACTGCTTCTTATGTCAGTACTGTGAATCGTCCTCTGGTTGCATCCCAAATAGATTACTGCAGTGCGCTCTACATGGGGTTGCCTTTGAAGATTGTTCAGAAGCTTCAAGTGGTCCAACGGGCAACAGCCAGGTTGCTCACTGGAGCAGCATATAGGAAGCACACAACCTCCCTGTTATGTCAGTTCCACTCCGCTTCCAAGCAGAATTCAAAGTCATGGCTTTAGCCTATAAAGCTCTAAATGGTTCCGGCCCAACTTACTGGTCAGAACGTATCTCCCTCTATGAGCCAGTTAGAACATTAAGATTGTCTGGGGAGGCCCTGCTCTCGGTCCTACCTCCTTCACAAGTGCAACTGGTGGTGACAAGACACAGGGCCTTCTCAGTGTTGGCCCTTTGGCTGTGCATCTCCCTCCCCAGTGACATCAGAGCAGCTCTCTCCTTCCTGGCCTTCAGAAGGAAAGTGAAAACCTAGCTCTGGGGCCAAGCCTTTGGAGATTCAGAGCAGAGTCTGGAGGTGTCCAAGTGCTGAAAGCAAGGCTCTATCCAATAGACTCATTATTATATTATTTTACATTATATTATATTATTATATTACATTATATTATAATATTAGTTCTGCTATTCCCCAAACACCTGGTGCCACAGCCAAGTTTTAAGTTTTTTTCTTAAGACCAGGAGGGAGGAGGTCAATCTAATATCACTGGGGAGGGAGTTCCACAGCCAAGGGGCCACCACTGAGAAGGCCCTGTCTCTCGTCCCCACCAGTCGCAACTGAAGAGGAGGTGGAGTCAAGAGCAGGACCTCCCCAGAAGATCTTAACACCCGAACTGGTCCATAGGGGGAGATATGTTTGGACAGATATGATGATGGTGATGATGATGATGACCCTYCTGACTTATCCCCCCCCCCCAGATAGCACAACTTGGGCCTCTTTGGGGCCATGGTTCTGAGAAGAGGGTCAAACACCCCCTTGCCTCCCATTTCCCCCCTCCCCAGAACCCACAACCTGAAACCCCAAAGGTTATGTGCTTGGTGTACTGCAAAGGAGGTGGGACCAAGAGCAGGACCTCACTGACAATCTTAAAGCCCAAACTGGTTCATAGGGGTCACCATCGAGAAGGCCCTGTCCCTCRTTCCCACCAGTTGCAGTTGCAAAGGAGGTGGGACTGACAGCAGGATCTCCCCAGAAGATCTTGATGCCCAAAGTGGTTCATAGGGGGAGATAGGTATCATAATGATGATGATAATGATGATGACCCTCTCAACTCCTTCCCCCCCCCCCCAGAAAGTGCAACTTGGGCCTCTTTGAAGCCATGACACTAAGAAGAGGGTCAAAGACCCCCTTGCCTCCTGTTTCCGACGCCCCTCCAAACTCACAACCTGAAACCCCAAAGGATATGCATTTGGCATACTGCAAAGGAGGTGGGACCGAGAGCAGGRCCTCACTGTCGATTTTAACACCTGAAATGGTTCATAGCAGGAGATAGGTGCGGACAGGTATGATGACGATKATGACCATCCTGACTTCTTCCCCCCTAGATAGCACAGTTTGGGCCTCTTTGGGGCCATGGCTCCGAGAAGAGGGCCAAAGATCCCCTTGACTCCCATTTCCCCACCCCCCAAACCCACAACCCGAAACCCTGAAGGATATGTGCTAGGCGTACTGCAAAGGAGGTGGGACCGAGAGCAGGGCCTCCCTCCTGATCTTAAGGCCCAAACTAGTTCATAGGGGAGATAGGTTCAGACAGGTATCATGATGATGATGATGACCCTCCTGACTTCTTCCCCCCTAGAAAGTGCAACTTGGGCCTCTTTGGGGCCATGGCTCCAAGAAAAGGGTCAAAGACCCCCGTACCTCCCATTTCCCCAAATCCACAACCTGAAACCCCAAAGGATATGAACTTGGCATAGTGCAAAGAAGGTGGGACTGAGAGCAGGGCCTCCATGCTAATCTTAAGGCCAAACTAGTTCATAGTATTATATTGCATTACATTATAAAATAGGTTCGGATAGGTATCATGATTATGATGACCCTCCCAACTTCTTCCCCCCAAGAAAGAGCAACTTGGATCTCTTTGGGGCCATGTTTCTGAGAAGGAGGTCCATCCCCCTGCCCCAAAGACCCCTTTGCCTCCCATTCCCCCCTCCCACCTTCCCAAACCCAAAAGAATACCCCAACCCCAAAAGGATATGGCCACTCGGTGATGCGCTTGGCGTACTTGCGCACGGCGTTGTCCTCGCTGAAGACAAAGAGGGAACGGTTGAGGGTGAGGCAGTTCTGCTTGACAGGGATGGGGTTGTAGAGGGCCATGGTGCGGGCCCGCTGGGCCTTGGACTGCTTGTAGATGGGTGGGCGGGAGGCCGGAGCAGCAGGGGTGCCTCCTCCGGCACCAGAAGAGGGTCCTCCGCCCGCCATGGGCCGCCCTGCCCCGCCGGGCCCCAGGCTGCCACTGCCCCCACGGGGAGGACCCCCAAGCCCGCGCCCGCTGGGCAGCTCCTCGCCAAAGCGAGCCATGGCGCCACCGGGAGGGCCCTCGTCTCCAAGCTGGCCGGCGAGCCCCCCGCGGGGAGACGCATCCCAGCCCAGGCGGATCCGGGAGGAAGACCAGGAGGTGGCCGAGGCTGAGCAGGAGGAAGAGCCAGGAGAAGAGAGAAGATGGGGGCCTAGGGGAGGAGGGTGCAGAACCTCAACTGCCTTCTTCTAGGCTGAGCCCCAACAAGGCCCTCACAAGTCTTCCATTGATTGGCTCAGGAGGAGGAATGAGAAACCCCCTAGTCTTCCTTCTTCAGTGTGGTTGATTGGTTGATTCAGTTGAGGCTGAAGGCTGAGGAAGAGGAGGATGCGGAGCCTCAACTGCCTTCTTCTAGGCCAAGCCCCAATGAGGCCCTCAAAAGTCTCCCTTCTTCAGTGCCATTGATTGGCTCAGGAGGAGGAACGAGGAACCCCCAAGTCTTCCTTCTTCAGTGCAATCGATTGGTTGATTCAATTGAGGCTGAAGGCTGAGGAAAAAGAAGGTGCAGAACCTCAACTTCCTTCTTCTAGGCTGGGCCCCAACAAGGCCCTCACAAGTCTCCCTTCTTCAGTGCCATTGATTGGCTCAGGAGGAGGAACGAGGAACCCTCAAGTCTCCCTTCTTCAATGCCATTGATTGGTTGATTCAGTTGAGACTGAAGGCTGAGGAAGAAGAAGGTGCAGAACCTCAACTTCCTTCTTCTAGGCTTCTCTTCTTTCCCAGGCGATTAGCAAGAAGGAAGATGAAGGGCGAGGAAAAGGAGGCTGAGCCTCAACTGTCCTCTTCTAGGCCCATGTTCTTGCCCAGGTGACTGAAAAGGAGGAAGAGGGTGCTGAGCCTCAACTGCCTTCTTCTAGGGTGAGCCTCAACAAGGCCCTCACAAGTCTCCCTTCTTCAATTGGTTGATTCAGTTGAGACTGAAGGGTGAGAAAGAGGAGGGTGCTGAGACTCAACCTTCTTCTGGGCCCCTCTCTTTTTTCCCAAGTGACAGGAGGAGGAGGAATGAGGAACCCCCAAGTCTCCCTGCTTCAATACAATTGATTGGTTGCTTCAGTGGAGGCTGAAGGGTGAGGAAGAGGAGGAGGAGAAGGATGCTGAGCTTCAACTGCCCTCTTCTAGGCTTCTCCTCTTTCCCAGGGGATTGGGGAGGGGGAGGATGAAGGGTGAGGAGAAGGATGAGCCTCAGCTGCCTTCTTCAATGCTTCTCTTCTTTCCTAGGCGATTGGGGAGGAGGAGGATGAAGGGTGAGGAAGAGGAAGAGGAGGATGCTGAGGCTCAACTGCCGCCTTCAATGTTTCTCTTCTTTCCCATGCGACTGGGGAGGAGGAAGATGAAGGGTGGGGAAGAGGAGGATGCTGAGCACCAACTGCCTTCTTCTGGGCCTCTCTTCTTTCCCAAGCGATTGGGGAGGAGAAGGATGAATGCTGAGGAAGAGAAGGATGTTGAGCCTCAACTGCCTTCTTCTAGGCCCCTCTTCTTTCCCAGGCGACTGAGGAGGAGGAAGAGGAGGCTGAGTCTCAATTACCTTCTTCTAAGCTTCTCTTCTTTCCTAGGCGATTGGGGAGGAGGATGAAGGGCGACGAAGAGGAGGCTGAGCCTCAAGGAGGCCCCACAAGTCTCCCTTCTTCCCTGTGATTGATTGGTTGGTTGATTCAATTGAGGATGAAGGGTGAGGAAGAGGAGGAGGAGGATTCTGAGCCTCAACTGCCTTCTTCTAGGCCCCTCTTCTTTCCCAAGTGATTGGGGAGGGGGAAGGATGAAGGAGGAGGAAGAGGAGGATGCTGAGCCTCAAATACCTTCTTCTAGGCTTCTCTTCTTTCCCAGGCGATTGGAGAAGAGGATGGAGGGCGAGGAAAAGGAGAAAAAGGAGGCTGAGCCTCAGTGAGCACCCCCAAGTCTCCTTTCTTCAATGTTGAGGCTGAAAGGCAAGGAGGAGGAGGATGCTGAGCCCCAACTGCCTTCTTCTAAGCTTTTCTTCTTTTCTAGCTGATTGGGGAGGAGGATGAAGGGCGAGGAAGAGCTTCAAAAGAGGCCCCTCCAAGACTCCCTTCTTCAATGCGATTGATTGATTGATTGATTCAGTTGAGACTGAAGGGCGAGGAAGAGGAGGAGGAGGTTTCTCTTCTTTCCCAGGCGATTGGGAAAGGGGAGGATGAAGGGTGAGGAAGCCGAGGGTGCTGAGGAGCCTCAACTACCTTCTTCTAGGCTTTCCTTCTTTCCTAGGGCAATTGGGGAGGAGGATGAAGGGCCTCAAGGGGTCCTTCTTCGATGGATGGATGGGTTGAGCTGAGGCTGAAGGGCGAAGAAGAGGAGGAGGAAGAGGAGGCTGGAGCTCGACCGCCCTTCTTTCTCTCACTCACACCTTGACGGGGAGTCTCTCTTCTTGCCTTCTGAAGGAAGAGGGCTACTGGTGGTGCGGAGGAGGAGGAGGAGGATGCTGAAGGGCGAGGCTGGGCGAAGAGGAGGAGGATGCTGAGGCTCCACTGCCCTCTGATGAATGAGATCGGCCGGCAAATAAGGGCAGAGCCACACACAAAGAAGAAGAGAAGATGCTCCAAGGGTCCTTTCCCCTCCGAGGCGAGTCTGAGAGGAGGAAGAGGAGGAGGATGCCCTCCTTGGGCCCTAGGCTGAGGAGGAGAAGAGGAAGGAGCAATTGGTGGTGATGCTGCTGAAGGGCGAGGCGAGGAGGCGGAGGAGGAAGGAGAAGATGCTGAAGCTCCGTTTCCCTCACAGCAGAGAGAGGAAAAGGGGGGAAGATCCCTTCTTCTTTTTCCCAGAAGGAGAGGAGGAGGAGGAGGAGGCCCCAGATGAAGAAGAAGAGAAGAAGAGTCCTTGGAGGAGGAATGGAGAGGAAGAGGAGGAGAGATGCACCTTCCCTTGCTGCTGCGATGCTGCTGAAGGGCGAGGCGAGGAGGAGGAAGAGGAGGTTCAGCTCCCTTCGATGGTCCCTTCCATGGCGGCTATGAAGAGACAGAGAAAGAGGGGAGGCCGGTCGAAGCCCCCCCTCCCCTAGATCTCCTCCTTTGGCTCCCCAACATTCAGCAGGAAGGAAGAGGCCAAACCATCCTCCTCCTTCGCCTCTTCCCTGCCGGAATCGGAGCAGCAACCGGTTTGTGGACCTCGCCCCTCTGACAACAGGGGAGGGGGGAAGGAAGGAGAGAGGGAGGGGCCGGCTGACAGCCTTGCAGCCAATCAGCGGGGCCCTGAACCCTCCCCGCCCGACCCCACAGCGAGAGTTAGAGGAGGAGCTGGAGCTTTTCAAGCCAGAGGGTTTTCAGGAGGGGGGGGGGGGAGAGGGAAAGGAGGGTTGGGAAAAAGGCGGGGCCTAAAATTGAGACGAGGGAGGGGGGAAGCTGAGTGCAAAACTCCCCGCCCCTCTCCATTGCAAGGTTTTCCTTCTGGGAAGGGATAGGAGGAGAGCAGCATCGAGCCGAGCCGGGGAGTTGTCCAAGTGCTGAAACCAAGGCTCTATCCCATGGAGTCAGAGCCCAACCTAGAACGTGCAAGTGCTGAAACCAAGGCTCTATCCCATGGAGTCAGAGCCCAACCTAGAAGTGTGCAAGTGCTGAAACCAAGGCTCTATCCCATGGAGTCAGAGCCCAACCTAGAAGTGTGCAAGTGCTGAAACCAAGGCTCTATCCCATGGAGTCAGAGCCCAACCTAGAACTGTGCAAGTGCTGAAACCAAGGCTCTATCCCATGGAGTCAGAGCCCAGCCTGGAGCTGTCCAAGTGCTGAAACCAAGGCTCTATCCCATGGAGTCAGAGCCCAACCTAGAACTGTGCAAGTGCTGAAACCAAGGCTCTATCCCATGGAGTCAGAGCCCAGCCTGGAGCTGTCCAAGTGCTGAAACCAAGGCTCTATCCCATGGAGTCAGAGCCCAGCCTGGAGCTGTCCAAGTGCTGAAACCAAGGCTCTATCCCATGGAGTCAGAGCCCAACCTAGAAGTGTGCAAGTGCTGAAACCAAGGCTCTATCCCATGGAGTCAGAGCCCAACCTAGAAGTGTGCAAGTGCTGAAACCAAGGCTCTATCCCATGGAGTCAGAGCCCAACCTAGAAGTGTGCAAGTGCTGAAACCAAGGCTCTATCCCATGGAGTCAGAGCCCAACCTAGAAGTGTGCAAGTGCTGAAACCAAGGCTCTATCCCATGGAGTCAGAGCCCAACCTAGAACGTGCAAGTGCTGAAACCAAGGCTCTATCCCATGGAGTCAGAGCCCAACCTAGAAGTGTGAAAGTGCTGAAACCAAGGCTCTATCCCATGGAGTCAGAGCCCAACCTAGAAGTGTGCAAGTGCTGAAACCAAGGCTCTATCCCATGGAGTCAGAGCCCAACCTAGAACTGTGCAAGTGCTGAAACCAAGGCTCTATCCCATGGAGTCAGAGCCCAACCTAGAACTGTGCAAGTGCTGAAACCAAGGCTCTATCCCATGGAGTCAGAGCCCAACCTAGAACTGTGCAAGTGCTGAAACCAAGGCTCTATCCCATGGAGTCAGAGCCCAACCTAGAACTGTGCAAGTGCTGAAACCAAGGCTCTATCCCATGGAGTCAGAGCCCAACCTAGACCTGTGCAAGTGCTGAAACCAAGGCTCTATCCCATGGAGTCAGAGCCCAACCTAGAAGTGTGCAAGTGCTGAAACCAAGGCTCTATCCCATGGAGTCAGAGCCCAACCTAGACCTGTGCAAGTGCTGAAACCAAGGCTCTATCCCATGGAGTCAGAGCCCAACCTAGAAGTGTGCAAGTGCTGAAACCAAGGCTCTATCCCATGGAGTCAGAGCCCAGCCTGGAGCTGTCCAAGTGCTGAAACCAAGGCTCTATCCCATGGAGTCAGAGCCCAACCTGGAGCTGTCCAAGTGCTGAAACCAAGGCTCTATCCCATGGAGTCAGAGCCCAGCCTGGAGCTGTCCAAGTGCTGAAACCAAGGCTCTATCCCATGGAGTCAGAGCCTAACCTGGAGCTGTCCAAGGGCTGAAACTAAGGCTCGGTCTATCCCATGAAGTCAGAGCCGAGTCCAAGGCTCTATCCCATGAAGTTAGAGTCCAGTCTGGAGTTCTCCAAGTGCTGAAACCAAGGCTCTAGCCAATGGACTGAGAGCCGAGCTAAGAGGTGTCCAAGTGCTGAAACCAAGGCTCTATCCCAGGGGTAGGGAACCTTTGGCCCTCCAGCTGTGGTGGACTTCAACTCCCACAATTCCTTGAGGCTCGGCATTGGGCCAAGGTAAGCCTTTGGGGCGAATGCCGAGCCTCAAGGAATTGTGGGAGTTCGAAGTCCACCACAGCTGGAGGGCCAAAGGTTCCCTACCCCTGCTCTATCCCATGGAGCCAGAGCACAGCCTGGAACTGTCCAAGTGCTGAAATCAAGGCTCTATCACATTGTGTTTACCCCCAACCATAAAATTATTATTATTGCTACTTCCTGATTTAATTGTGTTGCTGTTATGAATCATAATGTAAATATCTGAAATGCAGGATGTATTTTCATTCACTGGACCAAATTTGGCACAAATACCCAACAACAGTGCTCCATGCTGTCATGTCAGGCACATGAACTTGGAGGTGTCTATGGACGGCTCTTTGGCTAGAAATTGAACACCAACTCCCAGAGTTGGACATGACTGGACTTAATGTCAGGGGAAAACTTTTACATTACCTTACCTAAAATGCCCAAATTTGAACACTGGTGGGGTTGGAGGGAGAACTGATTATGTCATTTGGGAGTTGTAGTTGCTGGGATTTATAGTTTACCTACAAACAAAGAGCATTTTGAACTCCAACAATGATGGAATTGGACCAAAGTTGGCACACAGAAGTCCCATGACCAACGAAACATACTGGAAAGGTTTGGTGAGCACTGTCCTTGAGTTTAGGAGTTGTAGTTCACCTATATCCAGAACGTACTGTAGATTCAAATGATGATGAATCTGGACCAAACTTGGCACAAATACTAAATATACCCAAATATGAACCCTGGTGGAGTTTGGGAGAAAATAGACCTTGACGTTTGGGAGTTGTCGTTGCTGGGATTTATAGTTCACCTACAATCAAAGATCATTTTGAACTCCAACAATGATGGAATTGGACCAAACGTGGCACACAGAAGTCCCATGACCAACGAAACATACTGGAAGGGTTTGGTGAGCACTAACCTTGAGTTTTGGAGTTGTAGTTCACCTACATC